AGTAGAATGGGGTAGAACAGAGTAAAATAAAGTACATTTGGGGCATTGGAGTAGGTAACTAGAATAAAGTGCCTGTGGGGGATGGAAGTGGGTAACTGTGGTAAAAAAAAAAAAAAGTACAGAACTGGCTGGGCGAAGGTAACTAACCAAAGAGGCTTGGATAAGCAGCTAGACTAGAATGTACAGATGAGGTTGGGACATGCAATTAGAGTAGAATGCACAGAGGGGTCTGGTCAAATAACTACGCTATAGTGTATAGAGGGGACTAAGCCAAATAACTAGGTTATAACGTACAGAGGAGACTGTGAAGGGTAACTGGAGTAGAAAAACACAAAGGAGGCTGGGTCAAGTAACTAGAGTAGAATGTACAGGAGAACGTTGGTACGGGTAACTAGAGTAGAATGTACAGAGAAGGCATGGACAGGTAACTAGAGTAGAATGCACAGAGTAGGCTGGAACGGGTAACTAGAGTAGAATGTACAGAGTAGGCTGGAGCGCGTAACTAGAGTAGAATGTACAGAGTAGGCATAGACGGATAACTAGAGTAGAATGTACAGAGTAGGTGTGGACAGATAACTAGAGTTTAATGTACAGAGTAGGCATGGATGGGTAACCAGAATACAATGTACATAGGAGGCTGGGATGGGTAACTAGAGTAGAATGTACAGAGGAGGCTGAGACAGTAACTAGAGTAGAATGTACAGTGAAGGCTGGTATGGGTAACTAGAGTAGAATGTACAGAGTAGGCATAGATGGATAACTAGAGTAGAATGTACAGAGTAGGCGTGGACAGATAACTAGAGTGCAATGTACAGAGTAGGCATGGATGGGTAACCAGAATATAATGTACATAGGAGGCTGGGATGGGTAACTAGAGTAGAATGTACAGAGGAGGCTGAGACGGTAACTAGAGTAGAATGTACAGTGAAGGCTGGTACGGGTAACTAGAGTAGAATGTACAGAGGAGGCTGGGACAGAAGCTAGAGTAGACTGTACAGAGGAGGCTGGGATGGGTAGCTAGAGTAGAATGTACAGAGGAGGCTGGGGCAGTTAACTAGAGTAGAATGTACAGAGGAGGCTAGGATGGGTAACTAGAGTGGAATGTACAGAGGAGGCTGGGACGGGTAACTAGAGTAGAATGTACAGAGAAGGCTGGGACAGTTAACTAGGTTATATTGTACAGAGGGGACTAAGACAGATAAGTAGAGTAGAAAGTACAGAGGTTGCTGGCAGACGTAAGTACAGTACAATGCACAGAGAAGGGTGTAACGGGTAAGTAGAGTAGCAAATACAGAGGGGCATAGGGTAGGTAAAATAGAATGTACAAACCTAAAATTCTTAGTATCCTTATGTTAGCCGCTTCACAGACCAAGTTGTGACTCTGCCAGTAACAAACCTGTTTTCACTATAGGGATAATAGGTCACCCCCCCCCCCCGTGGGGCTAAAGGGGTTTAAACCCCTTCAGCCGCTTACCTGAATCCAGCGACAATGTCCCTCGTGCTGGGTCAGGCTCCGCCCAGGCTCCTCCCCCACCGACGTTAGCCGGCGGGGGACACCTAATGCGCATGCACGTCAATGACCGCGCGCACACATTAGACCTCCCCATAGGCAAGCATTATTCAATGCTTTCCTATGGGGAAAATATGACGCTGGAGGTCCGTGACCAAAAGTCTGTTAGGATCCCGGAAGCACCCCCAGTGTCTCTGGAACTGCAATGTTTAACATTGCACCACTAAGTGCAAAAGGGTCACAGCAACCAGACCACTTCAATTAGCTGAAGTGGTCTGGGTGCCTACAGTGTCCCTATAAAGCAATGCTTTATAAGTACAGTAAAGTTTTTCGGTGTTGTGTTCGATTATCCGCTTTCTCACGATTTAACCTTTTTCGACAGGAACCCAAGTTACATACATGATATTAGTTTGGTGACACATTATTCTTGAAAATCTTGAAAAATCATTTCTGGGACCCATTCTTCTTTTGATGTCAAGTATATAAAAAAAATAAATGATGAAAACACCTTCATTAGACTGTTTATAATGTGGATGGGGTTTTTAGATATATGCCCAACGAAAGTTTTCATTGAGGGTATATCTACTAAATAGTAATTTTTATTTATTTAGTATTTTGTCAGTGGAGTGTCCCTTTAAGTCCAGACTTAGAGGTTTTTTAACCACTGCCCTCAAATACATTTAATTGCTAGTAATTAATTACCTACTGTCATCTACGACAGAGAAATATTAACAAAAATTCAGTTACTAATCATATGTTCTATGAAGATAAAAACAGGTACAGTTGCAGGATTGGTCCTAATATTTCCTCTAATCCTGATATTTAGCATGTATTATTAACATTTATTAAACATATAGATGTATTATTCACATAAATTAACATAATTTCCACAATAGAACGGACAGAAAACGTTTTAATTTTAACAAAAAACACCCTGTTCCCATACAGAGGACTAACTGTCCATGAAATATTAATAATTTTGCCATTGTGTGAGTACACGGTTTTGTGCATTGTACAATTTATTGTAAATGAAGCATCGGTAATATGCAAATCACTTCTAAAAATATCTCTCCTTGTGTTACACAGTCACCCACTACCGCCATCTGTTAGTTAGTGCCGCCATAATGAGCGTAATCTATTAATGGCTGTTTTACAAATCGCAATACATCAGAACCAGGAGGGAGACCCAGAAAATTAACTGTAATGCACGGATATATTCTAAAAAAAAATAACTTTAGTTCAGCTTTATTTGCTCTTTGGAAAT